GGGTGTGAGGGAAGGTGTGGGTGTGAGGGAAGGTGTGGGTGTGAGGGAAGGTGTGTGGGTGTGAGGGAAGGTGTAGGTGTGGGGAAGGTGTGGGTGTGAGGGAAGGGTGTGGGTGGAGGGAAGGTGTGTGAGCGTGAGGGTAAGGTGTGGGTGTGAGGGAAGGTGTGGGTGTGAGGGGAAGGTGTGGTGTGAGGGAAGGTATGGGTGTGAGGAAGGTATGGGTGTGAGGGGAAGTGTGGGTGTGAGGGAAGGTGTGGGTGTGAGGGAAGGTGTGGGTGTGAGGGAAGGTGTGGGTGTAAGGGAAGGTGTGGGTGTGGGGAAGATGTGAGGTGTGGGGAAGATAGGTGTAAGGGTAGGTGTGGGTGTGAGGGAAGGTGTGGGTGTGAGGGGAAGGTATGGGTGTGAGGGGAAGGTGGGGTGTGAGGAGGAAGGTGTGGGTGTGAGGGAAGGTGTGGAGTGTGGGGGAAGGTTAGGTGTAGGGAAGCTGTGGGTGAGGGGAAGGTTTGGGAGTAGAGGAAGGTGTGGATGTGAGGGAAGGTGTGGATGTGAGGGAAGGTATAAGGGGAGGGAAGGTGTGGGTGTGAGGGGAAGGTATAGGTGTGACGGGAAGGTGTAGGTGTGAGGGAAAGGTGTAGGTGTAGAGGAAGGTGGGTGTGAGGTGTGGGTTTGAGGGAAGGTGTAGGTGTGAGAGGAAGGTGTGGTGTGAGGGAAAGATGTGGGTTTGAGGGAAGGTGTGGGTGTGAGGAAGGTGTGGGATGGAGAGGTGGGTGTGAGGGAAGGTGTAGGTGTGAGGGGAAGGTGTAGGTGTGAGGGTGGGTGTGAGGGAAGGTGGGTGTAGGGAAGGTGTTGTCTGAGGGAAGGTGTGGGTGTAGGAAGGTGTGGAGGAGGGAAGGTGTGGGTGTGGGGAAGGTGTGGGTGTGAGGGAAGGTGTAGGAAGGTGTTGGTCTGAGATGTGGTGTGAGGAAGGTGTAGGTGTGAGGAAGGTGAGGTGTGAGGTGTGGGTGAGGGAAGGTGTGGGTGTGAGGGGAAGGTGAGGTGAGGTGGAGGTGTGAGGGAATGTGTGGGTGTAGGGGAAGGTTTGGGTGTGATGGGAAGGTGTGGGTGTGTGAGGAAGGTGTGACCGTAGAGTGGAGTGTGGGTGAGGGAAGGTGAGTGTGAGGAGTGGAGTGTGAGGGAAGGTATGGGTGAGGGGAATGTATGGGTGAGGGAAAGGTGTGGGTGTGAGAGGAAGGTGTGGGTGTGAGGGGAAGGTGTGGGTGTGAGGGTAAGGTGTTGGTGTGAGGGAAGGTGTGGGGTGAGGGAAGGTTTGGGAGTGAGGAAGGTGTGGGTGTGAGGAAGGTGTGGGTGTGAGGAAAGGTATAGGTGTGACGGGAAGGTGTGGGTGGGGGAAGGTGTGGGTGTGGGGAAGGTGTGGGTGTGAGGGAAGGTGTGGGTTTGAGGAAGGTGTGGGTGTGAGGGAAGGTGTGGGTGTGGGGAAGGTGTGTGTGTTTGAGGGAAGGTGTGGGTGTGAGGGAAGATGTGGGTGTGGGGAAGTATAGGTCTGAGGGAAGGTGTCGGTGTGAGGGGAAGGTGTCGGTGTGAGGGAAGGTGTGGGTGTGAGGGAAGGTGTGGGTGTGGGGAAGGTGTGGGAGTGAGGGGAAGGTGTGGTGTTGGAAGGTGTGGGTGTAGGGGAAGGTGTTGGTGTGAGGGAAGGTGTGTGGTGAGGAAGGTGTGGGTGTGAGGGAAGGTGCGGGTTAGGGGAAGGTGTGGGTGTGGGGACGGGGTGAGGTGTGGGGAAGGTGTGGGTGTGAGGGGAAGGTGAGGGTGTGAGGGAAGGTGTGGGCGTGGGGAAGGTGTGGGTGTGAGGGAAGGTGTGGGTGTGAGCGGAAGGTGAGGGTGTGAGGGAAGGTGTGGGCGTGAGGGGACGGTGTGGGTGTGAGGAAGGTTTGGGTGTGAGAAGGTGTGGGTGTGAGGGGAAGGTGTGGGTGTGAGGGAAGGTGTGGGTGTGAGGGAAGGTGTGGGTGTGAGGGGAAGGTGTAGGTGTGAGGGAAGATGTTGGGTGTCAGGAAGGTGTGGGTGTGTGGGGAAGGTGGGTGTGGGGAAGGTGTGTGTGTCAGGGGAAGGTGTGGGTGGGGAAGGTGGCGTTGGGGAAGGTGTGGGTGTGAGGGAAGAGTGTAGGTGGAGGGAAAGGTGTGGGTATAGGGGAAGGGTGTAGGTGTGAGGAAGTTGTAGGTGTGAGGGAAGGTGTGGGTGTGAGGGGAAGGTGTGGGTGTAGGGGAAGTTGTGGGTGTGAGGGGAAGGTGGGGTGTGGGGAAGGTGTGGGTGTGAGGGGAAGGTGTGGGTGTGAGGAGAAGGTGTGGATGTGGGGAAGGTGTGGATGTGAGGAAGGTGTAGGTGTGAGGGGACGACGTGGGTGTGAGCGGAAGGTGTGGGTGTGAGGGGAAGGTGTGGGTGTGAGGGGAAGGTGTGGGTGTGAGGGAAAGGTGTGGGTGTGAGGAGAAGGTGTGGATGTGAGGGGAAGGTGTGGATGTGAGGGGAAGGTATAGCGATCTCGTTTAGTTAGTGGACATGTGTAATGTGCGATGCCAGAGAGACAGAGAGAAGACAAAAGGTGAGAGAGAGAGAGAATGAAACTTGTTAAAAGACAGAAAGAAAGATAGAGATTAAGTGAGATAAAAATGCCACGAAAGAGAGAGAGAGAGAGAGAGAGAGAGAGAGACAACGAACATCCTGAAACAGTATGACGTCACATATCCAAGATAATCGCCTCATCCTTAGTAAACATAGTTCCGTACTCTGATAATCACTAAAGTAACTCTTGCGACAAACTCTAGAAAATTTGATATAGTGAGATAAAAATTTGCCCAATAATTACTATGTAGGTGGCAGGTACGGGGTGGTAAAATGGCTTCGGTTATTATGGGAAAGCGGTACGAGGGAAGACATTATCGAATAGAACCGTGTATTGAACGCAGGGCTAACTCTTCCCGCCAATCAGAACGATATATTACGTTTAAACAGCGAATTAGTTTAGGTTAGGATAGGTTAGGTTAGGTTAGGTTAGGTTAGGGGTAAGGTAGATCAGGTTATGTTAGGCTAAAGGTAAATTAACATTGGTTAGGGGTGGTTTAGTATAGATTACGTTAGAAGCAGCTTCGGTTAGGTTGTGGGTGGATTAGGTTAGGTTAAAGGTGGATTAATTTAAATTAGGGATGGAATAGATAATGTCAGAAGTAGGATAGGTTAAGGAAGGTCAGCGGTAGCTTAATTTAGGTTGTGTTATGTTAGGTTAGGTTAGAGATAGGATACTTTAGGTTAAATTCATTTCCATCCCACTCACCACCATCTCGCTCACCACCCTCCCACTCACCACCATCTCGCTCACCACCCTCCCACTCACCACCATTTCGCTCACCACCATCCAGCTCACTACTATCCCACTCCCGGAGACTGGCGGGACAGCCAGTGGTAATTCGACAACACTTGTGAGATATCTACTGCTTCTGTACATACGACCTGGCCGATGGTAACCAGTGGTGGACGCTGGGAAGCGGTGAAGGGGGTTCGTAACATTAATGATAATAAACTTTTGAGAGTAACCACATATGAGGTGTGAGGGTTGTCCTGGTAACCACATGTGAGGTGTGAGGGTTGTCCTGGTGACCACATATGAGATGTGAGGGTTGTGATGGTGAACATCGTTGTCGTTTCCTCTCACCAGCTATCGTGGAGGCATCAGTATTATCTCTTGGTATTTAGTTGTTTCCTGTACTAACTTGACTCTTGTGTTAAGACGTAGTGTGGCAGTGTTGTGTAGTGACCGACAGCTGTGTTGTGGTAGTGGCAGTATGGGAAGGCGTAGGAAGATGGTGGTGCTGTGGAGGTTGTGTTTGGTCCTGACCGTCATCGTCACTTCTGCTGACCATAGTGAGTATTGCTGACACACACACACACACACACACACACACACACACACTCATGTTAACATAAAGTAAATTTCTTCACAGATTGTATCTACAACTTCACAGGCAACAAGAATAACCCAATCGGGATAGAGTACAAGCCTTCTCCATCTTACTTGCTCTTTATAGCAAATGAAAGAGAAACAGTTACGGACATCAAAGTGAGTTACTTCAACACATGGAAATTCGTTGGGCCTAAAATTAATAACCTGCCCTACAAGGTGCCCGACAACAACATTTTATACACGGCAAAATTGACACGTTCTAAGGTAGGTTATAGTTGTTAACGTGTTGTGATATCTGCCGTATATTTACTAATTGTGCGTCTTATGTTGTTTAATAACACACGGAAATATTCTCACTATGAACCTGGGGAAGCTTTATCATGTTAAGTACTAAAACAGTGATATTATCTCTATCTCTCTCTATCTCTCTCCAACAGCTCCTCCTCGACGGTAACAGAACCAAAGCAGAACTCTTCATCGACGACCAGTTCAAGTTAACTCTGGGTGAGGGAGACATCGACTCCATATCCGTGTATAGTAACTCTACCGTACTGTGGGCTGCCTGTGACTCACCGGCTATATACAGTGAGTGTAGAAATATTCCTTAACTTGTCTTTGTCTATATTCACTTGCCTCATCTCTCTCTCTTTCGCTTTTTATCTTCACTCATTCTATCTCTCCTTTACTTAATTATATATTTTGCTTTCTGCTTTGTATCTTAGTTTATCTCTCTCATCACGGAGTTTATAATAGTTGTCAACGTAAACTTCCATAATTAACTTATCATTTTGAAGTTCATAAATTTAACCTGATTTTGTATTAACATAATTTTTGATAAAGTAATGCTATATCAACATCCACTTGTATATTACAGGTACGGGTGCAGGTACAGGTACGGGTAGAGGTACAGGTACGGGTGCAGGTACAGGTACGGGTACAGGTACAGGTACGGGTACAGGTATAGGTACGGGTACAGGTACATGTACAGGTACAGGGTACAGGTACAGGTACAGGTACGGGTACAGGTACAGGTACGGGTGCAGGTACAGGTACGGGTACAGGTACAGGTACGGGTACAGGTACAGGTACGGGTACAGGTACAGGTACGGGTACAGGTACAGGTACATATGATATGTTCTGGATTATCATAGTAGTATCAACAACAGTGTTCGTAGTCATCATTATTGGCCTCGCTGTCTACACCTGTTCCCTCAAGACCCGACTAAGTGGTAAGTCTCTTATTATTATAATTATTATTATTATTAATATTATTATCATTATTATTTATTTATTTATTTATTATCATTATTATTATTATTATTATTCTGAAAACATTAAAAAAATACACTAACCTTTCTCTTCCTATCACTCTCTCTTTCCGTTTATCAGTGTGTGTCTATCAGTCGTTCTGTTTGTCTCTGTCCACTCATGTCTCCATATATCCGCCCCTCTGCATTATTGTGTCTGGCTAACCCAGGGTTGACCATCCTCTGTCAATCCAGCTGGCTACGATCTAGGCCTGAGGGACACCCACCAGGAGGCAGCCCATGACCTACACCGATGGGTTTCTCAAGCATCACCCCACGACAACCAGGGGCAGACACAGGAGGCAGCCCACGACCTACACCAGTGGGGGCCTGAGGGTTCCACATACAGCAGCGACAACAGCCTGTACATGGCCTTTACTGCCGGAAAGGATGATGACTAGTGTGGCAGTGCCCTTGTATACATTGGTGTATATTTCAATATTCATGTCCCAAATTCAGGCCATGAAAATTAAAAACAAATTTAAATGGGAGAAATGCACCAAAAGTCTTAATCATACTTAATAAACTGTACATAATTATTATCAAATATTTAATCCAGTAACTACTTCCATGTTTTACATATTAGTGGAAACTATTCGGCAATATTTACTTTATGTTTATTATTTGTGTTTGTCTACAAATTCTTGCCGAAAAACAAACAAACAAACAAACGAAACAGAAACAAATAAAAATCTGAATGGAGTAAAAGCTTATGTCTTACCTAATTTTATTAAGTGTACTTTTGTTTTATAATATGTTTGTTCTTGCTTATATACATAATACATTATACTCATTATGAAGATATAGTGAGAATTGACAGTAAGAAAGATTGCAAAGTGAGGAAAATTGTAATTTGGCCGTATGGGTGTGTGATCACAATAAAGTATGGTCTTGGGTTAATTTTTTTAAGACACAAGACTACAGTATATGTTACCTCTATGTATTAGTTATGTGACTGAACACTGCCGATTACTCCTCAAAGAAAGGGGGTGTCGTTACTAGCGACCATATTACACTATGATTATGACCGACAATTTACCCCTATACATAAAACATGACATGAATACACTTCCTGCTACAGTAGTTCCATCTAGGATTACCGCTCGGATAATTACTCATGTGTAACCTGCAGAAGACTCATCAAGACAGCGCCTCGGGACATGCTGAGCCAAGCTCACGGCTGTAGAGAAAGAGGCCCTTCCCCCGTCCGGATCGAGACTCACGCCTGTGTGTATGGAGTCTGAGGTGAGTATCAGATGTGTACTATATGGGCGGCTGCTTGATGGGTGCTGTATTTATGTGGATTTTTAGAGTCACAAGGACCGTACTTTTCCATTAAAATGAAGGCAAGAATTCACTACCCCTTCCTGTTGTAAAGATGTGATAGCTGTGATGGTATCACACTAATTGTTTTCCTTTTATTTTCGAAGCAGCTATATACACAGATATAATCTGAGAGAATATATTACAAATTCTCTCCAGGGAAGTGTTGTGAATAACACTTTGAGATAACACTTGAGTTAAGTGTCTGGCTTCTCTGTCCAGTGGTGGTAGTCTACTGCCTTCTTTGGGCGTGAGAGAGTGAGCCGGTTGTTTGCTAAATTAGGTGACCAGCGCTCGACCTTTGAGAGAGTAGCAAGCCAAGTTATCTTCGTGAATAACATGGTGACTCACTTGGTGAAATACTTGGTGAATAAGTTTGTGTTATTCATTTAGGCGAATATTTACATAAAGCAAAGGTGCTGTTACACTGCTCGGCCACCACCAATCGAGTCCTCGCGGTTTAAAGCCAAGGTATACCTAACCATGTTACAAAAATGTGTGCTTTAGCGAAACTGTTGCATCCAGCACATGCTCTTTCAATGCCTTTCGGAAATTTTCTTGGAAACTATTGTGTACTTAGAGGACATTTTCCTGGAACAAAACATCATGACAGTGAAGGAAATGACAAATAAAATGGCAGGTTTGATGAAACCAGGTAGGATTACTCCGGAAGATAAATAAAAAGGAAGAGAATCCTGTAATGCAGGAAACTGTGTTTCATTAATGTAAGATAGAAGTTTAAGCTTATCAGAGACAATGTGAAAGCTGCTGAAATTGATATTCAGTCAAAATGGTATGGGTACCAGTTCAGAAGTAATGTTTGATACACATGCAAGATGATGGTGAGTAGGCAAGGTTATGACGGCAATACTGCTGAGCTCACTAGTCTGGTGCTACATGATAACCTTCTACTACTAAATGATTGCCTACATCCTGACATATGAGTGTCACACTGGTCTGATCTGGGAAATAAAAATATTGCACATTATTGACATGCACGTGAAACACTAAACTATGAGGTATTGGAGTGTATTCACATTGCTGCAGAGCTGTAGAGGCATTGGTTTGTTTTATAGCTAATTCACAAGTAGCTTCTGCAGCCAGGGTGAAAGTGAAAGCAAAAGCAGGGCATACATGTAAGTGTTAGTGTGTTGACTTACAAGGATTTAGGACATCATGCTTAGTCACACCAACTAACGAAAATTTTTCTGAAATCACTGTTAGTTCAGTTTCTCTGTTAAGAATAAAAAAGATCGTCATTCGCTTTCAATGGAAATGGTTCCAAATGCCATACATTAGACTTCTTTTGTGATTTTAGTGGAATTTGTATTTGTATTTCCGTATGTGTTAAGGATGCCTCCAATAATGGGTAATAATATTCCATGTCGTGCTCCTGAAAGATAGGAGTTAGGCGATAGGCAGTTTCAGCTATATGTTAAGCGGCAATAAGTTGACCAACCGGCAACAACTGTGCATCTACACGACCTAAACCTGCATTCACTAAATCATCTATGAGCCCACCATTGGTAACTGTGAGAGCTTGCATAGAGGCTTCAGCTGCACGCATATATTCTGTGAAGCAGAGTAGCCTTGCTTGTGTAGGCACTGACAGTGTGAATCCATGGACAACACGTGTTAGTTGAATAGTCTCGTCAACAATAGCATTCATATGAGAGTTCAGAGTTTGCATTGCCTTGTAGAACTGTGCAATGGCTTTATTCTGTTCCCTGACCGCTTCTGAAACTGCGTTCATTCGTTTCTCTAGTTTGGCTACATCTTCGGCGGTTGCCGTACCAAACAGGGTGCTACTTATTAAATTAACAAATTCAAATAAACCATTTTTTTGACGCCGATGAGAATGTAAATTCTTCCCGGTGTCTTCAGGAGAGATCGACAGTTTTCCTTCGAAGTGCCTTGCGTACTTGAGTAGACTCTTCATACGGGCGTTCTGAAGTGAGATGGTTTGTCGAAGGGTTGTAGAGATGGTAGACTGTTGTTCGAGATCTTGCAGGGTGTGCATAACTGTTACAATGTGAACAGCTATTGACCTCAGGTGCACAGGCATGCACACTAATCAATGGAGCTGGTACTTGATAGTTACGACGTCTTCCACTACACGTACTTTGCCCAGTGAGGCAACTAAAGCTCCAGGTTAGATGATGTCTGCTGGGGATGTGGCTGTTGCTACCGCGCTCCATGCCAACAGGAGTAGCAATATCCAAGTCATGCCTAAAAGTGTGAGGATAAGTAATGTTTCTTGTTTGGTGATCGCAATTTTTGACGATACGTATTGTCTATTTTGGCATTGTGTTGAGCAGCTGTCGGAGTAGAAGTAGGTTGTACTTGAATGACGTTAGGGGTCTCTCTCCTAAGTCTATGCTGACTTTTTCATTCTATCTACATATACTGTTTCTGTGACGTTTGTCGCTGGGCTCAACTACATGGAATTTGTTTCCATGTTCTTTCTCTTTAATCAGGTATGGACCTGTGAATTTAGGCGAAAGTTTTGGTATGCGTTCCGGCGCTTTTTTCATTACTGCGTCTCCTATTTCTAGAGTTACACAGGCTTAGCGTTTTTATGTTGCTTGCAGATCATTTCAGCACGTGAGGCTGCTAAGTGTTTTCGTACTTTCCCATGGATGCTTGTGAAAACATTGATTTGCTTCAGGGGATAGTCATCCATGTGGTACAGAGGTTGTGGGATTCCTGCTTGTAGATCATAGGGCAAGTGTTTATCGGTACCATAAACCATGTAGTATGGCGATTGGCCTGTGGAAGCCAGTCCTCCCAGGAACTATGCATCGGATTCACCACATGTCGGAGAATCTCAAGAATTTTACGATTTGTACGCTCGACCAACCCATTTGAGGATGGGTGGTGGGCTGTTGTGAAGGTTTGTGTGAGGTCGTATTGTTGACATACTGCTGTTAAGAGTTAATTCTTAAATTCTGTCCCGTTATCTGAGAGTATCACTCTAGGTGACTAACACATGAGCCACTGCTTCGGCCGACTTTTTCTGCAATGGTGCTAGTACCACAAATCTGGAGAAGTGGTCAACGCACACAAGTACGTAAGTAGATATTCGATGGATTTTTGGTAGTTGCAATAAATCGATCGCAACTGTATCCCATGGAAGGTTCAGGCGTCGAGTATTCTAAGATTGGAGCGGGATCCATTGTTGTTCCCTTGTGTTTTGCACAAGATAAACACTTAGCAATGTGATGCTCGATATCGGTCTTCATAGTTTTCCTCCAATAATATTTTCGTCTAATTTATGTTACACATCTGTCTCGCCCTGGATGCCCAACTTGGGGAGCATCATGGAAGAGGGTGAGGATGTTTTCCTTTAGTGTTGTAGGCATAACAATTTGAGAGATTGACTCTTGTTGTGTTTTTACTGAGTGATGCAGTATGTCGTGCCGCAGCTCAAAATGTGAGAGTGGTAGAGGTAGTTTTGGCAAATTTACCTCATCTCCCGATTATAAGGCATAGATTACCTTGGACCACAGTGGATCCTGTAACTGTTCCGTCCTTAGCTGTTACAGGATGAACGTGGGTACTGGCGTGAAAGGAGCTATGTATCTAGATAGCGAATCAGCTATCACGTTCGCACGGCCCGGCAAATACTTGAAGTCGGGTGCGAACTCCTGTATGGTTAGATACCAGCGTGCTAAACGCCCTGATAAGTTCTTCCCATTAAATAGTTCTGTCACGGCTACATGATCTGTGTGGACTGTGATCGGATATCCAAAAATGAGATCCGGAAAATGATTGAGAGCCCACACTACAGCTAATGCTTCCGAGAGAGTAGCTGAATAACGTGTTTCTGCATCGTTGAGTGTGCGACTGGCGTTAGCTATTACACGCCACTTCCCTCAATGATCAGTTTGCATGATCACAGCTCTTGACCGGAGGCATCGGTGCACATGCTAAATGGTTTGGTGTACCAACACTTAGCATGTGCACCGTTTGTTAAGGCGCTTTTATGGGCATTAAAACAGTCCTCTTGTTCTTTATTCTACTTATACTCTACTTCTTTTTTGAGGAGTCTAGTCAGTGGTGAGGCTAACTTGGCATAACCTTCAATGAAAGAACAGTAGTATCCTGATAATCCTAGGAAACTACGAAGTTGATCTACATTCTTGGGACAAAGAAACTGCTTCACCGCCTTTACCTTGCAATCTACTGTGTGTATACCGTTGCCATCCACAACGTGTCGAGAAATTGGATTCTAGATTTAAGAAATTCACATTTGGAAAGTTTCACTTTCAATCAAGACTTCTCGTAGTTTCTTTAAATGGCTTTGTAAATCTTTGCTTACTACGGAAAGATCATTTACACCTTTAGATAGGCATAGACTGTGTTACCTATCATTCCAGCAAACAAGATGTTTAT